AAGGGTGCCTTTCAGTTGCAAATCATTAAGCCTGGAAAAGAGACACACTCTCTGAGTGTGCAAGCACCTTGGCTGGACTTCAAGGCAACAGGCAGTGGGGCTTAACCCTCAGAGTGCCTCCAAGTCTTTGTTGTTTCAACTTTTTAAATGTTTTGGCATTCTGGAAGGTAAGCAGTATTAAATGTCCTCTAATGGACATGGGAAGCTTGTAACAGTGAATCTCCTGGTTTACTCGTATGATTGGCTCATTACATTCCTGTATGAGTTCATGGAGCAGATCCCCACTGACACAGGAGAAGGGGGACCAATTTCTTTTTTAATTAATTAAATTTATTCACTCATTTTATGTCCTGACTGCAGTTTCTCCTCCAATCCCCTCCCCATCTCCCCTCTACCCTCTTACTCCTCCTCTGTTTCTGTTGAGAAAGGGTCAGGTTTCCCATGGTTATCAACAAAGCATAGCATATTAAGTTGCAGTAGGCCTAAGCTCCACTCCTTGTTTTAAGGCAGGGCAAGGCAACCCAGTATGAGGAATAGGTTCCCAAAAGTCAACCAAACCATTAGGGACAGCCCCTGCTCTCACTGCTAGGAGTCCCACAAGTAGACTAAGCCACACAACTGTCACACATATGTACAGAGCCTAGGTCAGTGCCATGCAGGCTTCCTGGCAGTCAGCCCAGACTCTGTGAGTTCCTGTGAGCCCAAGTTAGTTGTTTCTGTGAGTTCCCTTGTGATATCCTTGATCCCTCTGGTCTGTACAATCCTTCCTCCCCCTCTTTAGCAGGATTCCATGAGCTTAGCCTGTTTGGTTGTGGGTGGATCTCTGCATCTGTTTCCATCAATTACTGGATGAAGCCTCTCTGATGACAATTGGGGTAGTCACCAGGTTATGAGTATAATAGAATGTCATTACATTGACATTTTTATCTCCAATCATGTTTAAGTCCCTGGGTCATTCAGCCTCTAGGTCTTGGAGCTCCAGACAATGTCTGGGGTGGGCTCACTCTCATGGTATGGATCTGAGACTGAACCGGTCATTGTTTGGCTACTCCCACAATCTCCACACCACCACTGCTCTGCACCCCACCCCCCATCCTGCACATCCAAGGCAGGATAGACTATAGGTCAAAGGTTGTATGGCTGCGCTGGGTGTCATCCCAATCTCTACACAGGAAGTCCCACCCAGTCACAGGAGATGGCCAGTTCAGGCAGCCCATCCACAATTGTATAGCTGGGATCATTCTTGTAGATTCTGGGGAGCTTCCCTTGAAACGGGTTTCCACCTGATGTTGAAATATCCCCCCTTTCCAGTTATTTCTTTCAGTACTCTCCCCCTCCATATACCCCCCTACTGGATCCCCCATGTTCCCATCTCCTCCTGCTTCCTGTCTACCCACAAGATCTCTTTTATTTTCCCTTGATTTAACTTTGGTATATGGTACCTATCAAGAAATTTGTGAATTGTTTTAGGTTTTCCAATTAGGTGGAGTACAGGTTTTTGAAGTAATGACCTGATGATTCTTTGGATTCCTCAGTGTCTGTTATGTCCCCCATTTTGTTTTTGATTTTGTTAATTGGATATTCTCTCTGTCTTTTAGTTAGTTTGAACAGGACTTGCCTATCTTGTTGATTTTCTCAAAGAACCAACTCTTTGTGTCATTGATTCTTTGTATTATTCTCTTTGTATCTATTTTATTTCTTTCATCCCTCAGTTTGATTATTTCCAGCTGTCTACTCCTCTTGAGTGTTTGCTTCTTTTTGTTCTAGAGCTTTCAGGTGTGCTGTTATGTCAATAGTGTGAGGTTTCTCCAAATTCTTTATCTAGGCACTTAGTGTTGTGAACTTTCCTCTTAGCATTGCTTTCATTGTGTCCCATAGGGTTGGTATGTTGTATGTTCATTTTCATTGAATTCTAGGAAGTCTTTAATTTCCTTCTTATTTCTTCCTTAGCCCATTGGTAATTCAGTTGAAAGTTATTCAGTTTCCATGAGTTTGTAGGCTTTCTGTAGTTTGTGCTGTTGAACTCCAACGTTAATCCATGGGATCTGACAAGATAGAGGGGATTATTCCAATTTTTTTATTTGTTGGGACATGCTTTGTGCCTGAGTATGTGGTCAATTTTGGAGAAGATTCTATGTGATGCTGAGAAGAAGGTATATTCTTTGGTGTTTGGGTGAACATTCTGTAGATATGTTATGTCTATTTGAGTCATAGTATCTGTTAGCTACATTATGTCTTTGTTTTGTTTATGTCTGGAAAACCTGTCCATTGCTGAGAGCCAGGTACTGAAATCTTCCACAATTAATGTGTGGAGTTCCATATATGATTTAAGCTTTTTAACAATGTTTCTTCTACAAGTATGGGTGCCCTTGTATTTGGGGTATATATGTTCAGAATTGAGACATCCTCTTGATGCATTTTACTTTGGATGAATATGAAATGTCCTTCTCCATCTCTTTGATTAATTTTAGTTTGATGTCTATTTTGTCAGATGTTAGGATAGCTACACCAGCTTGCTTCTTAGGTCTGTCTGATTGGAAAAAAATTTTTTTCCAACCTTTTACTCTGAGGTAATGTCTATCTTTGATGTTGAGGTGTGTTTCTTGTATGCAGCAGAAATATGGATCCTGTTTTTGTATTCATTCTGTTAGTCTGTGTCTTTTTATTGGCAAATTGAGTCCATTGATATTGAGAGATAGTAAAGACCAGTAATTTTTAATTCCTGTTATTTTTGTTGTTGTTGTTGGTGGTGGTGGTGGTGGTGTGTGTGTGTTTGTTTGTGTGTGTGTGTGTGTGTGTGTGTGTGTGTGTTTCCTCCTTTGGGTTTTGCTAGTGTGAGATTATCTATTGCCTGAGTTTTCATGGGTGTAGCTAACTTCCTTGGGGTTAAGTTTTTCCTCTAGTACCTCTAATACCTTCCATAGGGGTGGATTTGTGGACAGCTATTGTTTAAATTCGACTTTGTCATGAAATATCTTGTTTTAATCATCTATGATGATGAAGAGTTGTCAGGGCTGGCATCTGTGGTCTTTTATTGTCTGCAAGACATCTGTTCTGGCCTTTCCAGCTTTTAGAGTCTCCATTGAGAAGTAGGGTGAAATTCTGATAGATCTGCCTTTATATGTTACGTGACCTTTTTCCTGTGCAGCTTTTAATATTCTTTCTTTATTCTGTGTGTTTAGTGTTTTGATCATTATGTGGCGAGGGGACTATTTTTCCCAATCCAAACTATTTGGTGTTCTGTAAGCTTCATCTACCTTTATAGATGTCTTTCTCTAGTTTGGGAAATTTTTCTTCTATGGTTTTGTTGAATATATTTTCTGAGTCTTTGGGTTGTGAGTCTTCTCCTTCTTCTATTCCTATTATTCTTAGGTTTGGTATTTTCATGGTGCTCCAGATTTTCTGGATGTTTTGTGTTAGATTTTTTTTTTTAGATTTAACATTTCTTTGGCTCACAAACCTATTACCTCTATTGTATTGTATCTTTGTATCTTCAATGCCTGAGATTCTCTCTTTCATCTCTGGTATTCTGTTGGTGATGTTTTGTAGTTCCTGTTTGCTTACCCAGATTTTCCATTTCCAGAATACCCTCTGTTTGTGGGTTTTTTGTTTTTGTTTTTGCTTCTATTTCCATTTTCAGGTCTTGAACCGTTTCATTCACTTGTTTGTTTGTTTTTTTTTCTTGGATTTCTTGGCATTCTTTAGGGGATTTATTGATTTCTTCCAAATTTTTTATTGTCTTTTCCTCAATTTCTTTAAGGATTTTTAACATTTCCTCTTTAAGGACCTCTATCATCTTCATAAAGTTATTTTCCTGTGCTTCAGCTGCGTTGGAATGCTCGGGTCCTCCTGTTGTAGGATCAGTGGCCTCTGGTGGTTCCATATTGCCCTTTCTGTTGTTGTCTTCTTACACTGGTGTTTAGGCATCTAGACTTGAGATGATTGTAGGTCTAGGTGTTGATTCCTGTTTTTGTCTCTGATGGATGGTTGTTTTGTTCCTTTGTTTTCTGTTTCTTCTCTGGTGTTCTGTCCTAAGTGGTGACTGGCAAGTCTTCAGGTCCAGTAGGGTGTCTCCACTGAGGTTCTGGGTGCCTTGGGTCCCTAGATCCAGCCCAGCCTCCAGTAAAGCCAAAGTCTTCTTCCAAAGTTGTAGAGCCCAGGAGAGAGGGTACTGTTCTTCTTTCTGACTTGTATGGACTATACCTGGGCCTATGGAGTCTGCCAGAGTTTGGGAATAAGGGCTGGTAACAGGGATGATGATGAAGTGGGAGGGGTTGGAGCCGCCTTCATCTTCTTCTTCTTCTTCTTCTTCTTCTTCTTCTTCTTCTTCTTCTTCTTCTTCTTCTTCTTCTTCTTCTTCTTCTTCTTCTTCTCCCTCTTCTTCTTCTTCTGTTTTTTCGAGACAGGGTTTCTCTGTGGATTTGGAGGCTGTGCTGGAACTCCCTGTAGGCTGGCCTTGAGCTCACAGAAATCTGCCTGCCTCTGCCTCCCCAGTACTAGGATTAAAGGCATGCACCACCAATGCCCTGCAAGGAGCCAACTTCTTAAGTGTCTTTCATGAAGAAGTTTTCACCTTCTCTGCACACAGGGAAATTCCCTTTAATTCTGCCTACTACTCTGTGTCTCCAGAGAGTTTTAACTGTCTAAGAAGGTCAATCCCTGTGCTAAAAGGATGGTTTTATATATCCTTAGTGAAAATGGACTAGCCTAGGAAAGTGAAAATGTTGAAGCTGGTAGCATGAGAAGCTTACAGTATTTTCATATGCTTGTAGAAGTACAACTTGACAGTTCATTTTCCCTTACTTGTTTTGTGCCTTGTGAACTCACAAGGAGGTCAGAGGATAGGCTTTGTGTGTTGGTTCTCTCCTTTTCCGTATGTTATCAGCCTTGGCAGCAAAGCCCTAGCCACTGAGCTGTCTCTCCAGCCCAGCCATGCACTGTTCATGCTGTCCAGGAATAAGCTGTGTGAAATGTCTTCCTGATGTCACTTTTCTTTTCAGGTGACCCTCCTGGTAGCTCCTCCATGCACCCGGGAAAGGCATTATGAGCACCTTGGACGGTGTTGCAGCAAATGCGAACCAGGTACTCCTGCACCTCAGGGCTCTCTAGCCTCTCTCTCTCTCTCTCTCTCTCTCTCTCTCTCTCTCTCTCTCTCTCTCTCTCTCTCTCTCTCTCGTCCTAAGAGGTGAAGGAAGAAATTCATAGACCTTTCATGATAGTGGTAGGTAGTGATGTTTGCCACTCAGAAGACAGAATGCTTTCCCTCAATAGATCTCATCACCTATGAATCAAAGGCAGTTTCAGAAACTGATCCTCTACTGGTCCTGAGACAGAAGGGTTTCCTAAAATCATGTCCTGGTAAAACATGAAGTACAACTGACACTTGAAAATGTGTGCACAGAGGTCTTATTTTGGAATAACCAAACTGGGATTTCTTAACCCTTGACAGATCTTCTCCCATATACCAGCCAAAGGATGTAAAGGGGGCTGACTGGCCACTACCTTCCACAAATGTGGCTGGCATTTGTATGCCCCTGTGGAGTCCCAACCTGCTGGGTCCTTACTCTCTCTTGTTCTTGGTGAGGGCAGCAGAAGCTGGGTTACTTTGTTACTAAGATCTTTTGGATGTTTCAGTGGCAAATATTTCTTGAATGTACAGGACACAGAGGCAATACTTTTATCACATACACACATGCATGCAAACGTGTGTCAGTGTTTGAGTCTTGGTCGGACTCATTATCTGGTAGTGCATATAGAGCATGGGGAGCCAGCTGTCCACGGTGAAGGTAGAGGAGAGTCGGAAGATACAAGGGGAAGACCAATTCTCTACCTAGCCCTCTTCGTCTCTTGGTCCATTCCAGCAAACTCCTCAATTTCTGCAGAGTGCAGCTTTATTTCTGAGTTCTGCTTCTCAGTCAGGAGTTTGGGAGTGCAAAAGAGGGTGGTTGGTTGGTTGGTTGTTTATTTAGACAAACTAAGAGAGCACTGTAGTCAGAGCAAATGTAGGAGGGAGCAACATAGGTGCAGCAAAACTGGGGCAGGATATTTCAGCCAGCAGAGGCCTGAGGAGCTCAGGTACTGTGTGCACTGCCTGGAGTGCCCTCATCTCACATATTAGGCTGTCTTAAAGGCTTCATGGATCAACTGCTCTGTAAACCAAACCAGTAGATTGCTGTTTATTTCTTTATTTGGTGCTGGAGATTTAACCCGTATCCTCACACATGCTCAGCATCTGCTCTTGTAGTTTAGCTTTCTTTCTTGGTTTGGTTGTTTTTTTGAGACAGCATTTCTCTATGTAGCCCTGGCTTCCCTGAGGAACTTGCGCCTTAGACCAGGCTAGCCAGGATCTCAGAGACCCTCCTGCCTCGGCCTCCTGAGTGCTGGGGTTAAAGGTGTGAACCAGCATGCCCAGTGTGTTGTTTAATTTTGGTCAGCACATTTACTGCCAGTGTTTTATTTGTGATTGGTACATTGTCTTCTCCATTTAAGGAAGATACCTGTCTTCTAAATGCACTCCTACCTCTGACAGTGTGTGTCTGCCCTGTGGCCCAGATGAGTACTTGGACACCTGGAACGAAGAAGATAAATGCTTGCTGCACAAAGTCTGTGACGCAGGTGGGTCGGTCACACTGACACAAGTCACTGGCAGGTAGAGATACACCATCATCTTTCGTTCCTTAAACCCATTCCACAGAAGTGTGTTAAGTAAGCCTGCAGCTTTTCCTTTGAACATGCAGGGAAAGGTTCTACTCCTGGTTTTATGGTCCCAGTGCCACAGGTTAAAATTTTCATCTTTCTGCACCAGAATATGCACTGCACCTTAATTGTAACTACATCCTACCATTGACAAATTGTTGCCACAGAGTTGGGTGTGTCTGTGTCATTTAATCCTGCACTTGACCCATTTTAAAGATAGAGAAATTGAGACCTGAGATTAACTCCTCCAAGATTAACACATGAGAAGCAGGACTCAAACTGATCTTCTAACTCATAAATCTTCCCATAAACAGTAAATGAAAACATTGTTACAGTTCATTGCTTCACTAGGCTGTCATAATTTTGGGAAGGGGAGTTGGGATGCATACATATTTTGAGATAGGATCTCCCGCTGTAGTTCAGGATAGTGTAGAACTCACTACTGAAATTATAGGAATACATTTCCATGCTCAGCTCCATTTTAAAAAGTATAGCTTATGTTTAGAAATCAGGATGTAAATATGTCTCATGAATGCCCTAAGAGGTTCTTTTCTCTCTCTTTTCCAGTTTTTATTCTAACTACTAAAGCATCCACCATGTTCCCCTATAGGAGCTTCTGCTGTGGGTTTAATGATTGCATCCCTTGGGTGTCATTTATCATATTCTTTCCTTGGTATTCCATGCACTGTACATTAAATGTAGAAGGCTGATAGAATATTGGTTTATTTTGGCTATGGTCTGGCAAAACCCCTTCATCTGTAGTATAGTTCAGATGAATAAGAGTGGGAACTTTATTTTTGCAATATTCACTACAGAAAGTATGGGTTGGTTATTCCCCAGTTCTTGGGATCAACTTCAAGGCCTACACATGCCAACCAGATTATTTACCTCTAAGAAACATCACCAACTCATGATTTTTTAGATATAGAGGCTTCCAATATAGCCTGGCCTCTATCTTCCTGCCTCTGTCCCCCTGGCCCTCTGCCCCTCTGCCTCTGCCTCAGAAGTGCTAGGATTACATGTGTGTGCTCAAGTCTGACTAGATCTGTCTTCATGAGGGAACCCAGACATTGGTGTTAGATTCTGTCTCCTTTCTTTATTAGTCAGATGCTTCATAGAAACTCCCTGCCACTCTTCCTTCCTTCTTTCTTTCTTTCTTTCTTTCTTTCTTTCTTCCTTCCTTCCTTCCTTTCTTTCTTTTTTCCTTCCTTCCTTCCTTTCTCCCTCCCTCCCTCCCTCTCTGCCTTCCTCCCTCCCTCCCTTCCTCTACCTCTCTCTCTCTCTCTCTCTCTCTCTCTCTCTCTCTCTCTCTCTCTCTCTCCCTTCCTTTCTTTTGTTTTTGGTTTGAGACAGGGTTTTTCTGTGCAATAGCCCTGGCTATTTTGTGGATGTTCAGATTATCATACCACTCTGAGGTGATCCCAGGCTTTCATCAGTTCACACACACGCACACAAACACACACACAAGGTGCCCAAGATGATCAGAAGAAGGCAACAGATCCCTCTGATGTGGGCAGTTAAGAACTAAACTTGGGTCCTCTGTAAGAGTAGCAAGTGCTCTTAACCTCTGAGCCTTCTCTCTGTCCCCTAGTGGGACAGATTATTTAGGGCTGGTGCTAAGGGAGACCCATTAATAGTGACTTTATTTTTACAGGATATGCCCCCATTGAGCACAGCTAAGAAATAAGCATTTCTGAACACTCTCATTCTCTTAGTGTGTTTGAGACAACTGGCAGATTTTAGGCTGGAGAAAGTACTGTGGAAACTCCACAGGCACAAGCATCTGATTAAGTCCTTTTTATTTCCTTTGATGACCTTGACTCATTGCTGTCTGTTGGAAATAAGGATTCATTCTGTCTGCTTCCAAAATGAATGAAAGCTGAGCACTGAGCACATCAGATTGTTCTGCAACAGTTGCGACCCCCATTCACTGACACTTGTACAGGGTCCTGTAGTATTTTGCAGAGAAATGGTATGTGCTCCTGTATGCTTATATGTACTATGTACATGTTTCTGCACAATTGCCCTTTGTCCTGTGAAGGTTTGGGCAGTGGGTACAAGGGCAAATGAGGCTCAAGATTGGGTCCACAAAGCCCCTTCTTAATTAGCTGTAACTTGAGGCAACGAAGGAAGAAACAGGTTTTGATTTTCCCCTTCTCTTTTTCCCCCTGAAAGTTATGGTACAAGAGCCACATAGAAAATCCAGATGAGATGGGGCCTTTCAGTATTTTTTTATTTGTTTGTTTCTTTTTAAAGATTCATTTCATTTTTTAATTATGAGTGTGTGTGTAGAGGGTGTTATGTTCATGTGTGCAGGTGCCCAAGGAGGCCAAAAGAAGGTCAAATCCCCTGGAGGACATGGGTACCTGAAGTAGAACTCAGATGCTCTGCAAGAACAGTGTGGACTCCTAACCAGTGAGCCACCGCTCCAGCCACCTGGGTGACTTAAACAATGTTATGACTTCATATCACCTGCATGTGCATACCTGTATAATTCAGTTTCCTTATTCACAGTAACTGTATTCTATGAAGTTACCACAATCAGTGAGCTAGTGAGTCCCAAATCAGTCACAGCTCCTAAGAGAATTCAGGCCTAGATTCCTATAAGCCCCTGATCAGAGAGAGGCCTTTATCACATGCACAAACCCCCTTGTCCTATGTGTGTACTGTTTACTAGATAGGTTTTGTTGACTCAGCACACAACTCAAATGTACACAAATTTTATACCACATATGTTTTCTGAGCAGGGCACATCATTGTCTTCTTGTGTGTATAACACAAACAGTACTGACTACATACACATGGGGCCGTTTTAAGTAAGGACATCACCAAATAAAAGCCCAAGAATAGAAAAGTGCACTGGATAGACTGTAGCAAGGATGCTCATTTCGTCTGGGAACCTAGCTAGCTGGTAGAATGCTTTACTGGAGTGCATGAGGTTGTGGTTTCAATCCCCAGTATTCTCCTGGAAGGTGAAGGCAGAGAGGAGGAAGACAATCTTCCACAGGTCCTTGTGGAGAGTGATTCCAAACCCATGTCCAGGAATGACTGCAAATACTCTGCAAGTGTCAATAGAAATTGTAGTGAACAAGGGAATCCATGTCAACCTGAGCAACAAGGATGATTTGTGTATGTGTTGGGCACTTAGTTTACAATATAATTAAATTCCCATATGCCACATTCCAGAGAACTGAGAGAAGCCAGAAAATTAGAACAAGAAGGCAAGCACTTAACATCTGTTGGAAAGAGGTGTGTGTGTGCGTGTGTGTGTGTGTGTGTGTGTGTGTGTGTGTGTGTGTGTGTGTGTGTGTGTGTGTGTGTGTGTGTGTGTGTGTGTGTTGATCCTGGCCCATAGGACAGACAGACTACTTCTGTGCTTTGTCCTCTTGGCTGAGTACCCCAGAGCCCTTGGGGACCGCAGTATGAACTCACATCCCCAGAAACTCCATTAGGTCTATCTAAACTTTGCTTAACAGTTGTGTGAGATCTGAATTTACAAAACAATTTAATTAAAAAAAATCAAGCAGCTGTGCACTGTTGTGCATTTCAAAAAACAATTAAACCTACTAACACAAAACTCTAGAGCCCACACAACTCCTAATTGCTAGGAAGAAAGGGTTATGTTGGATAGTTTCCTACCAACAAGGAAGTGCAGGAAGGAAGTCTGGGGTTCCTCAAACCCGGTGAGTCACTGTGTTGGCGGCCAGATGCAGCTGTTTGGAGCTGGGTGGGGACGGTACACCGGGTGGACAGTGCATCTGTGTCTCCTGCCCCTTGCTGGTCGCTGATCGTCTCTTGTCTCCTGCAGGCAAGGCTCTGGTGGCAGTGGACCCTGGCAACCACACGGCCCCAAGGCGCTGCGCCTGCACCGCTGGCTATCACTGGAACCCAGACTGCGAGTGCTGCCGCCGCAATATGGAGTGCGCTCCGGGCTTCGGAGCCCAGCATCCCTGTAAGGCACGGTTCAGTGTGTATATGCATGCGCCTGTGCGCGCAGGCGCACATGTACCTACTATCCTACAGAGCCCTAAGCTTAACCTCTGCCCAGAGGCTTCCCGGGATTTGTCATGGCTCTGTCAAGGGTGCACAGGAGCTCGGCTGCCTCTGAGGAACCTCAGAGTGGGCTAAAAACCAGTTTAGCCCTGCTTTGAACAGCACATGGGCAGTCATCCCAAATTTCCTCCCTCCTCTTTGTGGCAATGGGCCTCAGTCTGTGAAACGCGAGGGTCCCCACTAAGTAACAAATAGTATAGTGCAGAGATCCACCAAGGCACTAAAATGCATGCAGCCCTCTAGAAGGGGGTGCGCACCTCTGGACACGTTGTAAATTAACACCGACAGATAAATTCAGATTTAAAGAGCTCCTCAAGATTTAGCTATTGGAGAATTCTACCTGCAATAGCACTTTGAAAGCAGGCAATGGAGGGCTGGGGAGACATTTCTACCTCTAATGTGCTTCACAGGCATGAGAGCCTGAGCTGGACCAAAAGTCACATTAAAAGCTAACCCCAACTCCAGCAAGAGGGGAAGCCAGGACACCGGGTCCCTGGAGCAATCTGGTCAGCTAGCCTAGGCAAAGTTCCAGGCCAGTGAGAAACTTTGCCTAACACAGAAGTGGAAGCCCCTGAAGACAGACAAAGGAGGTCTACTGACCTACACCTACACACACCAGCCACTGGACTGTAAAAGCCATTCTCTCCTGACCATTACTTAGCTTGACTATTGGAACACACACACTTCCTTTTCTTTGTTTACGCTCATCCACCTTCCACTTAGAATTGCCTCCTTCCCTTTGTTTGGAAGGCCTTTTCCAGTCACCTCTTCATATCCCTTCATATAAGAATAAGGACTAATTTGAAATCTGCTAAAAAAAAAAAAAACCCTAAATTGACAGGTTCACAGGGTAAAAATGAGGTGTTTTTTTTTCTGAGCTGAGCTGTCACTATACTTATTACTATGTAATTGGCCACAAGCACGTATTCACAGCTTTTGAACTGTGAGAGGAAGATTGTCCCAGATGTTTGTGTTCAGCTGGGTGCATCACCAGTGTTACACGTTAGCACACAGAGTTCACTTTCTGAGTAGCTGCCGAGAAACACAGCTTCCCCCAGAACCTTCTGAGTGACATCCTTGCTCAGAAAGTGACGTGAGGTTGGGGCTATTTTTAATGATCTGCCATCTGAGAACTCCATTGTGTCCTTCAGCTTTGTTGAAAGCAGAGAAGCAGAAACCCTTTTTGACTTGCAAAAGTGCTTCGGAGAGCCCTTTGCTCTCCCAGCTTCTAGGAAGTGTTACAAAGCAGGTTTTCAGGGCCCAACAAATGATTGCTTATGCTTGCCAGTCTTTCACTTAAAGCCAGCATACTTGGGCAGGGATGGGAAAGCTAAAATATTATTCATTTGAATCCACATGGAAGAATGTATCTAGCTAGTGCAGCAGGCCTCTGCATCAGCGGCTGACTCACCCGCACATGCTCTCTCGGAAAAGTCAGCTTGAGTTTTTTAACCAGTAAAGACAAACCTCCCTACCACAGCCAGCTCCCTCCAAATGCTGCTCCCAGAGCTCCCAGACCTTTCTGATCTAGGGCGCTCCCCACTGTCTTTATGATTTCTGAAAGATGTTCTTGAATGACAAAAAGAAATAGAAAGGAGGGCATGACCGTTCCTAGGTATGGTGGGGGAGAATGTTTATTGTACATATAAGGGAGAGTGTAGTAAGAGACAGAGATGAGTACAGAGAGAACAGGACCCTGAGCTGTGCCATGTGAGGAGAGGGCAAAGAGGAGATCCAGGAAACCTGGAGGCCAGGTGGGTATAAGGGTAAAAAGGACTGATGTAACCAAAATGTCTGGATTATACTGAAGAGCCTCTGGGGGAAGGGCAGCCCAAGAGAGTTCAGGGTAGGGGTGGGATATGCCAGTCAGGGGGACCCTGTAACCAATAGGGACACGGATGCTGGGAGAAACTGCTGGTGGCCGGCATCAGCTTTGATCTGCTAATAGGCAGTTCAGTCAGCCTTTGTCCAGAGTTTTAGACCTAACAGTTTCCTCTGCCTTGAACCCTTGAAAATGGCACATTTTTGACAGTAGTGGATATGAGGTAGATGAATTCACTCTTGAGGCTGGGGGTGTCTTTGTCAGTTGGTACAATGCTCATCTAGCATGCATAGAGCCCTGGATTTGATCCCCAGTCCTGAATAAAACCTGGTATGGTGGTATACACTTGTAATCCTAGCAGTGAAAGCGAGAGGATTGGAAGGAAGTTCAAGGTCATCCTTAGCTACACAGTGAGTTTGAGACCTGTCTCAGATTATAAGAATCTCTGAAAAAAAAAAGTCACTTATACCCAAACAGAACAGCTGACCTGGTCCCAAATGCTATCCTATGAGGACCATATGTTTGCTGTGGGTCAGTATGGAAAGAGAAGCAGGCCCAGGCTGCTCTGAGTGTAACTGTGTGGTCACCAGTATTTCAACTCCTGGCTCAGTTTAGCACAGCCAAGATTCGAGTTCACAGGGATTTGGGCAGATAGGAGTGTAGTAAGTTCTTGTGCTAGTGTAAGAAACCTGACTGTAAAAGGGGAAATGGGACCTTCTGGGTACCACTAGTGGGTCAAGTGTATGGAAAGTAATGTCCCTGAACCCTTCTCAGAATCTTCTAGATGGCATTACTCTTCAGAGCACCTTTCCTATAACTCACAGACAATCCCAATTTTTTCAAGAATTGTTACCTGTATGCACCACTGCCTTCTATCTACATCCCAAGAATCCACAGTGTGACTTTGGCCCAGCTAGCTCCAACACCATTTATCAACAAGAACACCAACAATGATCACTGACAGGTGACTCCCTGATTTTAGGACTGGTCCTGAGACAGTCCCCCTCACCTATAGGAGTCAGTTTATAGTGTTACCACATAAATGGAGTAACATGTGAGGCTTAACTTTTTACCTGTGTGTGTGTGTGTGTGTGTGTGTGTGTGTGTGTGTGTGTGTGTGTGTGTGTGTGTGAATGCCAGTGCTAGAGGAGGCCAGAGGCCTTGGTTGGATCCCTAGAGCTGGGCATTACAGGCAGCTGGTAGCTAATGTGGGGTGCTGAGAAGCAAACTCTAGCCTCTTGTTCATCCTTTAAAATGCTGTGTCAATTAATATTAGTTAGGCAATGGTCCTGGCATTGTTACAATTGTTTCACAGCTAGTCACACTGCCAAATCAGTGTGGTAATACATCTTATTTATTGCCAAATTACAGAAATCAAACATATACTTTCTATCAGGCATGTACCAAGAATTTTAATTTCTTATTTTAGGTTTGTATCCATAAAAATAAATCATGGAAGTGCTACTAATTTCAAAAGTCATTTGTGGGTTTGGCACCAGGCTAAGGTTAGTTTCACATTGTAGTCAGCATTGTTCATTTGTGCCTACCAAGTTGCCGTGTGTCAATTGCAATAAAGATTGGAGACACAAAAGCTTGAGGCATCTTTTACGTTGCTAATTTAGCTTAAGACAAATATGACAGTGGAATCAAGCAGAAGGTTTGACCTTCTGCTCTGAGTACTGTGGATGAAGGCAAGATCCACACTATCACATCATTTGCATTGATGTTTCCTTGGGAGCACAGCCCATATTATTGCTTCCATATTATCTATAGTTACGTCTGTGCTTTGGGCATCTAATCACAGCAGAGGTCATAGGCCTAAAAAGTAGTTATGTCAGGCCTGGTAGAAAAACTTGACACCAATCATTGGTTGAGGAGGAAGAGACTTATGAAGTTCAAAAGTGTAATAACCATTACAACTCCTTAGCCTGGTGAAATGAAGCTGATCATTTCACTGTGGCAAGGCATGGCCATGTATTTAATAAGTCAACAGTTGACATGCATTTCAGTTATTTTGGGTTTTAAAATAATAACTTTTATAGTGAATAGTATCATATAGCCCAAAATGTTTGGGACCAGAAATGTTTCAAGTATCAACACCCCTGCTCCCCCAGATTTTAGAGTAATGAGATATCTTGGTTTTGGAGGAACTCATTTCCCATAAAGGCAGGGATGGCACCACATTTGCCTGTAGATGGAAGCTGATGCAGCCATGAAGACTAGAAATAGCCAGACAACAAAAACTGCAGCCACCCATGGGGAAATGTATTGAAGCCTAAGACAATGGTTCCAAACAGTAAAAGATCAGGCAAAGTTGGATTTAGCCAGACATCAGATGTAGTCCCAGGGGCCTGCTACGAAGCCAGTTTCTGAATGTAATTCAGTAAGCACTTCCTCCACAAAAGCCTGGAGGAGCTGAAGGCAGAAGATATAGGTGGCCAGGCAGACACAAGGTGGGATGGGGTAATGCTTTGGGGAAGCCATCCTGTCTGATCTCTAAGTGTCTCCTTGCTTTATCTGTTGGCTTTTGTGTGTGACAGTGCAGCTCAACATGGACACGGTGTGCATGCCCTGCCTCCTAGGCTTCTTCTCAGATGTCTTTTCATCAACGGACAAATGCAGACCCTGGACCAAGTAAGTGACCAAGCAGAAACCCAAGGGCCTGCTCACATTTAGACCTGTCAGGCTCACCAGCTCTGGGTGGAAGGCTGATTGAATGTGTCAGGTTAGCTTCCTCTTGGAAAAAGTCTGTCTGCCACAGTAGGGAGTGAGCCTGACAAGCTGGCTGTTGGACCCAGTATGTGTCAGAGCTTTGTGCCACTTCTTAGATTCAGAAATATATGACCTTCAGCTCTAGCTTCTTTTTCCTTTACCCAACTTGATTTAGTTGAAATTGTTTATGACCTCTTTGTCTGGGGCAGCGGTGGGGTGGGCTATGGCAGGTGGAATGTAAGGCCTCCAGACATGCTGGGCATATCCTGTATGGCTGAGCTATGTCCCCAGCTTGAGTTAAGTCATTGATTGTCTGTCACACACCACTCCTACATCCCATTATCACTGGTTTGCTCACCTGGAAGTGTGTAAGTGTGTGTACACTGTAAATGCTTTGGGTGTTCTTGGATAATTTTCAAGCTCTTTACAAGCCCCATAACACTGGTCCATCTGTGCCTTTGATTTTATCTCATCTATGATCATCTTGATATTTCATTTTCATTGATATTTTAATTTCAGGTTTATTTATTATTTTTGTTTCTGAGGATGAACTCAGAACATAAGAGGTTATCTGATGATTTTTTTCTACACTGAATTGGGAAACTGTGGCTTCTTAAAACTGCCGTGTACTTCACTGGGGAAATGCAGCACCATTTCCATACTGAGTTCCTACTGGTAGCCCTTTAAGCGGTTCTGAATTCTCTGCAGGGATAAGTTTTGTAGACATAGTGTGGTATACAGACTGAGCTTGGGAAGTGTTTCAGGTTCTGGGGGTCTTTTACGTGTATACTGAGAAGTTTTGGGGAAGGGTGCTGGGTCTAAACACAGAACTGTTTTGTCTCTCATGTATACCTTATTCATAGTCTGAAGGCAATTATGTACTCTAAATTATTTTTGTGAGTGAAACAAAGTTTCATGATGTCTGATTTCCTCACTGAAATTTCATGTCAGTGTTCTAAAACTCTCACATTTTGACTGTTGGATTTGGGGTTAGGGATGCTCAGCTGACGTACAGTATGACACTTCTCATGAGTTACATGGAACACTCCTGGGCTCTTTGTATCCTGCTGTTTAATACTGGTTTTAAATGCAATGAGTCTTCAGTTCCAAATATATTCTTTAATTTTAAAAAGCTCACATTTGCTACCCCGCAAGCTGCCGCTGCTGTGTCTGCTTCTCTTCCCATCATTCACTGTTTTCAGACAGGGTCTCACTATGCTGCCAAGCACCCCCACTTTCAGGATCACAGTGTACCCCACCACACGTGGCTCAGTAGTTCTTACTAAATGCTGTATCCCAATGCATTTTATTCAGGATTTATGTTGAGGAGATTGTATTTTCCACCTTTAGAATTGCACTCATCAAAACGCTCTCAGCGTTTGAAGTCCTCTTTCCCGAAGTCCCGTCTTCACTCTTGTCTACTGTGTTCTCAGTAGTTCTTAAGAGTGTTCCCCAATCACTCCATCCACCTCTGAGGACTTCTGCTCACCAGGGCAAGGATGGGGAGTAACATCCAGGAACACATCCCTTCCTAAAGGAGCCCCTGGACTAGCATAGTATGACAGTTCTTTTGTTTGCTTTTTAAAATTAAAAGTGTCCACCCACAGCCATTGCCTGCTTTTTCCTCACAGCTGCACCCTCCTTGGAAGGATAGAAGCACACCCAGGAACGAAGAAATCAGATGTGGTCTGCAGCTCTTCTCTGAGAAAACCACCCAAGGGTATGACGAGCAGAGCCTGTGGGGTGGCACATGGCCCTAGGGTGGTCTCTCTAGAATGACAACCTGTAGCTGCAGGGATCCATTCGTGCTTTCAGCCCATTCTGTCCGTGGCTGTCTTGGCATTATTTTCATTTCTCATCAGCATTTTATTTGCTTAAAAGATTTATTCTTTTTTATTTTATGTGTTTGTGCACCACCTTTATGCATTGCTCCAGGAGGCCAGAAGAGGGCAAAGGACCGTCTGGCACTGGAGCTAAAGACAGTTGTGAGCTGCCATGTGGAGGCTAAGAATCAAATCAGGCTTTCCGGAAGAGCAGCCAGTGCTTTTAACAGCCGAGCTATTGCTCCAGGCCCATCATTTTGTTTTGTCTTGTTTTACACAGTATGAGTTTCTTCTTTCCTTTTCTAAAAGTGTATTTATTTTATGTATATGGGTGTTTGGTCTCCATATATGCCTGTAAATAACATGCAAGCTCAATATCCAAGAATGCCTGAAGAGGGTGTTGGATCCCCTAGGACAGGAGTTACAGACAGTCATGTGAGCCACCATGTAGGTTCTGGGTTTTGAACCTGGGACCTCTGGAAGAGCAAAGTGTTTTTCTATCTCTCCAGCTCCCCCTCCCCAATTCCAAACCCACATTTTTTTTTCCCTCTCTCTCTCTCTCTCTCTCTCTCTCTCTCTCTCTCTCTCTCTCTCTCTCTCTCTCCTGCTGGAGACTTTACCCAGTGCCTTTCTACATGCTAGGCTTACTTGATAATACTTTTTTTTATACCGAGTTAGGGATAAGCTATAAATACAAATGTCGATGCCAATTTCCAGGTGTGGTAGGGAATGATAGTCAGAGTGAGGGCGTCCTTGTGTAGATTTTCATCAAGCCACTTGTTAGATCTGGCTGTGATTATCTGTGAGCATTTTTAGATCAAGCTGATCTAAATACGGTTTTGAAAGAGGCTTCTGTGTGGCTGCTTTAGGGGAGTAGCTGTGTGGTGGGCTGCACCTCAGAAGCAAGCAGCCTGGGGAAAGACCTTCCTAACATGCAGAGAACCAGGCCACAGAACAACAATAAGGCTGTTAGCAAGAAGAGCATGTGTGGAACGGCAAACTCAGAGAGATGAACCAGTACTGCACGGTGGATGGCATCCAGCTTATTCTCAAGCAGAGATAGGGCAGTGGGTCTGGGCTGGCCTCTCCTGGAGGGGAGGCCCCTGAGCGGGTGGGTTAAGCTATGGAGTGTGTCCTCTCACATGTGAGAACTGTCTGCACTTCCAGGTGAGGGGCTGGCTCTCCACTCTGGTTACCTGGACACCCACATCATTGATTCTTGGGTTGGATTTACAGGACTTTATCATCTTTCAACCTGGTAAAATGAAATAATCTTTAACCCTGTGTTTTCTTCCACCACAGAAGCCCAGATTTACTTGCCTAGTCTCATCATTCTGCTCCTCTTCGTCTCTGTGGTGTTAGTTGCTGCCATCGTCTTTGGTGTTTACTACAGGAAGGGAGGGAAAGCACTGACAGGTACTGTGTCCATGGCAGCATCTGCAAAGTGGCCTTGAAGAATATGGGTACTTTCCAGGATATTGTCCCTGACTGTCATGGAATCTGTTTTTAAATTTCTTATTTATGGGGCTGGCGTGATAGCTCAGCTGTTAAGAGCACTGGCAGCTCTTCCTGAGGACCTTGGTGCAATTCCCAGCACACACATGTTAGCTCACAACTGTCTTAACTCCAGTTCCAGGGAACCTGACACCCTCACACAGACGCACGTGCAGGTGAAACACCAATACACATAAAAAATAAGATTAAGTATTTTGCTTATTGTGTGTACCCATGATGTATATGTGGGTGTATGACCCACATTGTGTATGTGGAGGTAAAAGGACAGCTTTGTGTAGTTTGACCTTTAAATGAGTTTTGGGGGGTCAAACTGAGATTCAGCTAGTAGAGCATATTTGTACCCTAAGAAAAACACCTGTGCGCCTGAGTCTTTGTTCTCTTCTAGCAACAATAGTGACCAAAACCAAAGGACAATATTGTGTCTGTTTGTATATAAGTAAACAACATTTGGCTTTTCTGAAATTGCTGCTTTGTACTGTATCTCTGTGCATCATCGATACACAGGGGGCTCATAGTTAATCCTCTAGTATCCCCTGTGAATGCACCCATCCAATACAGACAAATGCTCAGATAAATGGCTAGATGGGGGAGTTTTGATTGGGATACTATTTTGAAATGTGAATCTACAATTATGAAAATAGATGACTTTGTATTTTTGGAATTTATGGGGTTTATTTTTAAAATAGAGAAACCGATGTTACTTCATTTCTTGGGGATATCTACAAAAAGATGGATAGTGTTTTTAAATATCACATCATGTTTGACTTTCATATGACACTGATAAAAGAGTTTTGTTTTGTTTTAAATGAAGGAATGCCAGGCTTCTTTAGTTTTTTTCAGATATACACAATCATTTTTTTTAATTAGTTCAAATTGGGAACAAGCTTGTTTCACATATCAATCCCTTCTCCCTCTCCCTCCCCTCACCCCCACCCCTCCTCCTCCACCCCCTACCTACTCCCAACCCCATCCACCCTCCACTCCCCAGGCAGGGTAGGGCCCTCAACAGGGGCTCCCCAAAGTCCACCACATCATGCTGGGCTGGGCCTAGGCCCTGCCCCATGTGTCTAGGCCAAGAGTGCATCCCTTCACCTGGGATGGGCTCTCAAAATCCCTTCTTACACCAGGGAAAAATGCTAATCCACTACCAGGGGCCCCGAGAGTGCAGAAGCCTCCTCATTGACATCCATGTTCAGGGGTCTGGATCAGTCCTGTACTGGCTCCCAGACAGCATCTGGGGTTGATGTGCTCCCCCTTGTTCAGGCTAGCTGTTTCTGTGGGTTTCACCAGCCTGGTACCCACCCCTTTGATCTTCATACCTCCCTCTCTACAACTAAGTTTCAGAGTTCAGTTCAGTGTAAATCTGTGGATGTCTGCCTCTGCTTCCATCAGCCACTGGATGAGGGTTCTAGGAAGGCATAAAAAGAAGTCATCAGTCTCATCATAGGGGAAGGGTGTTTAGGTTATCCTCTCCACCATTGCCTAGATTGTCAGTTCTACACAATCATTTTAAAAAACTTTCATTTATTGTGTGTTCATGATGTATGTATGGGTGCTTGTGTCGTGACATATATGTGGAAGCCAAAGAACAAGGTTGTGGAGTTGGCTCTCTCTTTTTGGGGGTCAAACTGAGGCTCAACAAATAAAGCATACGGTGTGAAACCATACACTTGTAATCTTGGTACTCAGAGGGTTGAGGCAGGAGTTTAAAGCTACTCTGGGCAACATAGGGAGATCCTGTCTTTCAAACCAAAAGTCCAAGGGCGGAGGCTATAGCCCAGTGGTAAAGTGCTTGCCTAGCATAAGGAATACCTTAGGTTTGATTCTCAGCCCTGGTTGATGGGGGTGAGGAGAAGAAAGATAGGAGGGGGAAAGGAATGGGAGTGTGTATGTGTGTGTGTGTGTGTGACTCACAAAAATGTCTGGTGTCAAACACACACACACGAACAGGCACACTCTTAATGAACATTCATATACACATGCATGCACAGCACACATACACACAAACCTATAGTGAAGAAAACATTGGATTTTCATAAGGGATGGGAAAAAACTTTATCTTTTCATATTATTGTCACAGATGCAACTTCTTTGTCCCCCTCTCTTGGTTATCTTGCTCCTCATATGCACAGTAACATTTTGAAGGGAATGAGGATGCCAGTGGTCTAACAGCATCACAGCAGACCCAGGTGTATCCATAGGGATTTGATGGATTACTAGTGAGTCCTAGTTTGGTTTCCATTGCTATGATAAAAGTAACTTCGAAGGGAAAGGTGTTTGTTTGCTTGTCTGTATGTCTTTCCAACTTAACACTTTGCAGTCCAGAAATCAGGGCAGAAGCTAAGCCAGGAACCCGGAGGCCAGAACTGAAGCAGAAGCCATGGAGGAATGCTGCTTTCTGACTCATTTCCCATGGCTTGCTCAGCCAGATTTCTTTTTAAAGTCTTTTAAAATTTATGTGTATGGGTGTTTGGTCAGCATGTAAGTCTGTGCACCGCATGCATGCCTCCTACTCTGAGAGCGCATCAGATCCTGTGGAATTAGAGTTACAGATGGTTGTGAGACTACATGTAGATGCTGGGAATTGAACCCAGGTCATCCAGAAGAGCAGCCAGTGTTCTTAACTACCCAGCCATCTCTCCAGTTCCTCAGCTACCTGTCTTAGACACCCCAGACCCTCCTGCCCAGGGATGGCATTGCTCAAAGTAGGCTGGGCCCTTCCTCTCATATCAATCAGCAATCAAGGAAATGTTCCTCAGACAGCCCACAGACCAATCTGATAGAGGCAGTTACTTCAGACAATCCACAAGCCAATCTGATGGAGGCAATTCCTTTAGACAGTCCACAGGCCAATCTGATGGAGGCAATTCCTTCAGACAGTCCACAGGCCAATCTGATGGAGGCAATTCCTTCAGACAGTCCACAGGCCAATCTGATGGAGGCAATTCCTTCAGACAGTCCACAAGCCAAACTGATGCGTAGGTGTTTAGGTTTGTGTCAAGTTGGCAAAAACTAACTCTGATAGTGTTTTTCTCTCTAGAGATCAGCAAGCTCTGTTTTTGTTAAAAAGATGCTTTCAGAGTGTTTAAATCAGTTCATTTATTAATTGGTTGGTTGACTCCCATCCCTGTGCTGGAGATTGAACCCAGGTCTTTGCTTTTGTTAAGTAAGTGCTGTGCCCCTGAGCCATATACTAGTCCTGTTGTTGCTGAGGCTGGAGCCCAGAGCATGCTAGACATGCTTTCTGCCATGGAGATTCACCCCCAGCCCTGGTAAATTATAATCATGTACTTCCGCTCAGGAATGCAAACACCTTACTGTGGGTATGTTTATGTAGAATTATTTAAAATGGGAGAATGTCAAATACACAGGGGAAGAGAAATGAAACAATGATGAGCAGGAGCAGGAGGAAGGAAATGGGGAGATGTAGGCCAAAGGCTCCAGTAGCAGATGTGGAGTATAAACACTCCCAGAGAAGAATATTGTATTGTATGAGAAGTTTTGCTGATTGAGTTGATTTTACCTCTTCTCGACACATACAAATCACCATTTGATAAGATGGATAAGTTAATCCATTTTATTACAGTAACCACTTTGCCATCTATATTTATCCTATAACATCCTCTATAAGTTAAATATATAAATAAAATTTATATTAAAAATAAGGAGAAAATTGTAACATGAAATTTTTATGTTTGCTTTTTTTCCAGCTAATTTGTGGAATTGGGCCAATGACACTTGCAGCAGCCTAAGTGGAAATAAGGTAAAAGTGTTTCCTGCCTTCTTTAAGTCCTGCTGCAGTGTCTAGAGCTGTAACTGGATGGCTGTGGAGCACACCGCTTACCAGGCAGTGACACCTCCATCCCAAAACTGATCCCTGTCGAATAAGTCAGTTCCCAATGTCCCATTCCCAGCCCTTCCTTGATCCCAGGCTGGACACTGAATGGTCTTTACTCATGCTAGGAAAGTATACTACACTACCCTGAGACAGACAACAGTCTTTATTCCAATTCTGTTGTCTCTATGTATGTATTTTTAGAACTGATCTTGGTCACCTAGTGCAGATTCCTAGAAGGAACCCTCTACGATTTTCCTTTACTCTGTAGTTATTTAATAAATCTTTTCCTTTGTCATAATTTCAAAAAATATTGAAAAATATTAAGACTGTTGCAATGAAAGGCCTGATGCCAGATACCCAATTCACCAGGAGCTTACACTTTATCACAGCAATTTATTCTTTGCTGTTTATGAGAATCAAGTGAGTCTGCAGTCACTTTAGAGCGAATGGAGATGGTGTATTCCTCTGCTCTTAAATATCTCAATGAATATTCCTTAAAAATAAATACTATGTCGAATAGTATTTTACCAACAACGAAAAGCTAAACAAAACCAAATCTGAAACTGGAGCGATGGCTAAGTGGTTTAGAGCAAGCACTTCTCTTATAGAGGGCCTGAATTCAGTTCTCAGCACTAATGTTAGGCAGCTCACAACCACAGGTGGTTACAGCCTGCAGCTGCAGTGAAGGGGATCCTATGCCCTCTTCTGGCCTGCTAGGACACCTAGCCTCAGATGCACAAGTGCACAAGTGCACGCTTGTGCTGGCGTGCGTGCATGCCCGCGCGCGCACGCGCGCGCGCACACACACACACACACACACACACACACACACACAAAAATTAAAATTAAAAATAACTCTTTTTAAAAAGAAGAACGCAATGGATCCTCATGTTCCACTCTGTCCTTTACAGTAAGTAAGTAAATATATACATTTATTCAAATGTGGTGCTGGTCATGTAGCTCAGTTGGGCAAGCACAAAACCCTGAGTTGAATACCAGCAGAGAATAAATGTTGTGGAGGTACTTGTCTTTAATCCAAGCCCCTAGGAGGTAGAGGCAGGAGGATCAGAAATTCACAGTCATCCTGTACTCCCTAATAAGGCCAGTCTCAGTTACATACGACCCTGTCTCAAAAATCCAAAATTAAACAACAAAAATTTAACAGTGACTTAACTGTTTTCCAATCCACATTTGATATTAATATGTTGATTGTTCTAGTTTGCCCTTTATATCTGTTGTAAGTATAAAATATATCAACTGCAGACATTAGACTGGTTTCTATAATTCAGCTCCAACCCCACAGGGTCCACTCTCATCTCTCCCTTTTCCTGCTTGGATCCTCCCTTCCCAGCATTACACCTGAGTCCTTCATTGTCAATATGCTTGCTCGTCTGCTGAATTATAGAACGCACAGAGCTAAACCATGCCACAAAGAGAGCTACTGCCTGGAATTCAGCATTGTCCATGTTGCCATTGTTTTGTTACAGACAGATGTGTTCCAGTGTTACTTGGATTATCTCTTCACTTGTACAGTGTGCAGATGCTATTCTTTGCTGTAAAGATCCAGTCGTATCTGTTTGTGTCCCTTTCAAGACTTCTCCCATACTCTGTGATTGGAAACAGCATAAATAAAGCCATAGAGTGTGGGCCACCTGTCCTTGTCAAGGTGGACAGTCTGCACCAACACTTCTCAGCAGTGGGCAGGCAAGCATGTTGTAATAACTCAGGGTATTCTTAACTCCCATCTCCAGGAGTCCTCAGGTGACTGTTGTATTGGTGCCCACTCGTCAACCTCCAGTCATCGAGAAGTGTCTGAAGGTGTCTTCCTAATGACTCTGGAGGAGAAGATGCTTCCAGAAGACATGTGCTATCCAGAAGATGGTACTGGCGCCTGTGGGCCTGTGTGTGCAGCAGGCGGGCCCTGTGCAGGGAGTGGAGATGCCGTGATGTTCACATTGGTCAGCGAAGTTGAGACCCAAGGGGACCTCTCAAGGAAGATTCCCACAGAGGATGAGTACACAGGCCGGCCCTCACAGCCCCCTGATGGGTCCCTGTTCCTGATCCAGCCTGGAAGCAAATCCACACCCCCTTTCCAGGAGCCTCTGGAGGTTGGGGAGAATGACAGTTTAAGCCAGTGTTTCACAGGGACGGAGAGCACCATTGATTCTGAAGGCTGCAACTTCATTGAGCCTCCATGCAGGACTGACTGTACTCCATTGTCCCCTGAAAAGTACTCAAAAAAAGAAATAGAGGGTGACAGTTGCCGACCCTGGGTGGCCGGCTCCAACTCATCAGATGGCTACACAGGCTGTGGGAACACTCCTAGGGAGGACCATGAACCCCTTATGGGTTCTCTGAAGTGTGGACCATTACCCCAGTGTGCCTACAGCATGGGCCTTCCCAGTGAAGCAGCAGCCAGTATGGCAGAGGTGGGAGAGCAGCCCCAGGCCAGGGCTGATGAAAAGCTTCCAAGCTCCGAGAGGGGAGCCTCGGGTTCTGGGAGTTCCCCCAGTGACCAACCACCTGTGTCTGGTAAGTAGCTTTCTTGGACTCCTGCTATTGAGCAGAGAGGCCCGTCCTGGGTAAAAGTTTCAGAAGCGTGTTTCACAATCCTCCAGAGAAAAGAAAGCCAACACAACACAGCCCAACTCCATTCTCTGCTAATTGACACAGAGTCTCTTGTAGACCAGGCTGGACCCAAACTCACTATGCATAGCTAAGATGCCTTTGAGCTCTTCCTCCTTCTGACTCATTTCTCCAGTACTGGACTTACAAGTGTAGGGCATCACACCTGGTTTTCTGGGCCTTTGTGTATGTTGGTCAAACATTCTACCAGCTGAGTGAATGTCCAGCTCTTTGCTAAGCATCTTTACAGAGGCTTTCAGTTCCCTCTGTGCATTGCATTGTGGACTATGCAGACCATTGTCATGACATCATCCACTAGGCAGGCTGCTACCCCTTAGGCATGCCTGAGCCCTCTGCCTTTAGGCTTCTCACGGTTGAGTTTGTGGTTAGTACTCCAACCACAGGACCAAACCCTGAAAGACAAAGTCAACAGTCATTTTAGGAGTGACTGAATCATGGTGTTCCCTCATATTTGGGGAGGGGTGGGTAAAAGAAACTTGGGCTTCTAAATCTCAGGACAAACAGAACTGTTTAGTTGATCCTTAATTATTTATTTAAGCAGCAAGTTAATGATGCAGTAAAAGTGTCCTTAGCTACTTTATAAGAAAATCCCCTTGTATAACCACCACATTTAATATGTTTATAAAACCCAGATGATAATTTACAATTTAGCATCATTATGGAGATTTATTGCTGCAACATTGCTGGAACACAAACAACCCACCAATGATAATATTATGACTTTTTTTTTTTGCTTGAGGGTAGAACACTATCTATCAAAAACTTAGGTAGTATAGGGGACTTCACAACTGATGATGAGGGTGTCCTCTGGGTATTATTAGCCTGGTCAGAGACAGGGAGTTCATTGAGAATCTTTTGGATGCTGTAAATACTCTCCAGAAGAAAAAAATGAATAGATAGATATGTACCACTTCATTAAAGAATGGGAGGGAGGGAAGGAAGAAGGGGGAGGGAGGAAGGGAGGGAGGGAGGGGGGGAGGGAGGGATGGAGGAGGGAGGCAAAGA